TTAAAAAAAAAAAAAAAAAAAAAAAGATAGTACACTGCAACCCCTACAAGAAATCTGCAACCCTGGCCAACTCATCCCATGACAAGCCACCATCACCCTGACCTAGTGTCTTCCTCCAATAGGCTTTGCTACAAAGCCACCCCTCCCAACTTCTTCCTTCTCCATAAAATAATCCTCCTCTCTGCTGTACCTGCCTATGGTTGTCCATGGTTTAATGTCCCAAATAAACTCATTTTTGCTGGTAAAAAACTTATTTTGAAGGCTAATATTATTTGGTGATTAGAAGTGGGATCCAGAAGACTGCCAACAACTCCAAGGCTGATGAACAAAAAGGTACCCATATCCACAGAGCTGCCTGAGCTCACTGCTTTCTCGACAACCCTAGAACTTGAACGTAATTTTTCTCCTGGATTTTGAGCTCCATTCTGTGTTTTAAGCTCTCTAAGAATTATTTGGCATCTGTTTTAAGGCTTTGTTCTCTATAAGAATGTCCATTTGGCCTTCGGTCCAACTCCTGTTATGAACCAGGCTACTCCGACTGAAACTGTGCTAGCCTTTTACCCAACTTCTTGGGAACAGGGAATATTATCAGGAATCTAAAATTGCTTGTCTACAAAATACAATTTCTAGACTAACGGAGGCAAACAAAGAGAGAAGAGGGCTTCTGAGGCCTTTTTCCTTCCTGTCTTCTATGTCTCAGGATGTGCAGCAGCTATCTTGTGTTCACTCCTGAACTTGCCTTTTCCTCGGAAACTCTCCCCACTCCCTCCTTTCCTGAACATAATAAAAACTGCCCCTTTAAAGTTAAGTCTTCTGAGAATCTGAAAACCCAAATCTCTTATGTTCCCTAGACCAAGGCCAGACTGCGCACCAGAGTTGAAGTTTCCTAAAATGACTCAGAACTCACATTTGCTAAAGAATTTAACACACTTATTCCAACTTACCACCCCGGTTTCTAAGATTTGTATCAGCCAGGCCATGCGCTCGTTGGGGAGGACCATGCCAAACGCTGGATGAAATTAGCCCCATGAGAGCATCCTAAAACATTTAGAGAAACAAACCTCTAACTTTGGCAAGATCCTAGAACGCTCACTGGAAATCTCCACCAGGCAATTACAGTAGCTTTTCCTAAGCCTGTTGACTGGAACAGAATTCAGATTTGCACACAACAGCCTGATGACCTCATCGTAACTACTATAACCAACTCCAAAGTGTCTCCGGGGAAGATTCTGGTCTTCCTTTACAAGCTGAATCCACCTGGGTAGCATTTAGCTCTCATTTACTAACAGGCTAAACCAGGATTTTTTAGTTGAAGGAGCAGCATGGAATGGGAAACTGTGTCCACTCCACATTTAGCTAGCTTGGCAAACCAACTCACTCACACCCACAAGGGCCACCTGAAAGAAAGACCACTAAACTCTCAATTTTCAACTCTGGCCAATGACGGCCCCTAAACAGACCAAAACCCCTTGGTTTCTGCTATAGGTGCAAAGGGCCAGGGCAATGGGAAAAAAGACTGTTACAAACCTAAACATTCCAGAAGCCTTCAGCCCTTTTGCCAGCCTTTCCAACGTCCTCCTAATTTCCAGCAATGGGGCTCCAAGGACCTACAGGGCCTCTTCCCAGTCCCCACTCTTAATTGGCCTGAAGAAACCACTCTCCAGACTGAGAATGAAATCTCCTTGTCTTACTAACCCCACAGCTATACATTCTCTGTGCGCTATACCACTCCTGGAAAGCAGGTCCTGCAGGCAACAGAGCATGAAAACAGCCCAAACAGTTGCGGGGGAGAAGGAGGTTTCTCTCATAAACCTCAAAGGTTCCTGTCTCTGCATCTATTCCTTTTCGGTCAGACCCTTGGAGAGATTCCCACCCTTTTCTCCTTAGTTTCTCCATCCCATTCATTCACTGGGACAAGATTTCTTAGGAAAGTATTATGCCAGAATTTCTCCCAAAAGGAAATAACTCTAGAATCAAAATTGCCAACCAGGTGGATTAAATGAGCCTTCAGCCTCTTCTGTTTGCTCCACCTCTGATGGCACGATAGGGGAGTCTGGGGACATGGATCATTTGTCCCCATCGGGTCAGCTACCACCCTCTTTATGGGCAGATTCCTCAACTGATACTGGCAGGATTCACAGCACACCTCCCACCAAGATTCAAACAGATCCCTCGCCACCTCTCCCCAGATCAAATGCCCTATAAATAAAGAAGCCCTTTAAGGCATCAAGCCCGGAGTAGGAGACCACAGACACAGGGCCTTATCATCCCCTGGGAGCCCCTACTTTACCTGTGAGAAGACCCCTGGCCCAGGATGGAGGCTAGTCTGGGACCTCAGAGCAATAAGTAACATTATCCCTGGGCGCCCTGTTGTTCTCAACCCCCACACACTGATGTCCTTTCCCAGTAAAAGCAAATCCTCCTTCCCTGTAACTGTTCTATATAATGCACTTTCAGTATTCCGGTTCATAAGGACAGTATCTTCTTGCTTTCACCTGGGAAGAACAGTAATAAACCTGGACAGTAAAGCCCCAGGTTACACAGGCAGTCCTTCTTAACTCCTTATAAACCTTAAAAGCTGATTTGGAGGATATAAAGTTTTCTGCAGGCTCTAGTTGGTTACAATATGTATTATGTTCTGCTTTTCTGCTCCTTTTCTTAAACATCTTCACAGGAGACAGCATTCATCTGTTAAAAACTTTTGGCCTCAAAAGGACATAAAATTGGGGCACCTGGGTGGCTCAGTCAGTTAAGCATCTGCCTTCGGCTCCAGTCAGGATCCCGGGATCCTGGGATTGAGTCCCGCATCGGGCTCCCTGTTTGGCAGGAAGCCTGCTTCTCCCTCTCCCTCTCTCACTCTCCCTGCTGTGTTCCCTCTCTCGATGTTTTTCTCTGTCAAATAAATTAATAAAATCCTTTAAAAAACAAAACAAAACAAAACAAAAGGACATAAAGTCTTCAAAGACAAATTGCAGCTTGCACAAACTCAGGTTCATCTTAGGGCACCTGATCTCAGAACAAGGACTACATTTAGACTCAGGTTGGTTTCACAGCACCCTGAACTTCCCAAAACCTAAACTAAGTGCCAATTACGAAGTATTTTGGGGCCCACTGTCTACTGTCGAAACTGAGATTCCAAACGTCTCTCTTACAGCTCAACCATTGTATGCTTTACTTGAAAAATGACAAACCTGACCCTGTCATTCAGAAAGATCGAGAAGACCTAGCTTTGGAGACTTTAAAGAAAAGCTTAATAAAGCCTCCTGCCTTCGACATCCTAATGATCAATTTCCCTTTTCCTCATTGTGCGTGAGAAGGAAGAAAATGCCTGGAGTACTTACCCAAAAATATGGGAGACCATCACTGACCCACAGGATAGGAGAGCCAACCACTGGAGCCTGTGCCCAGGGATGTCCCTTCAGCCCCCACCTCAGAGCAATTCCTGTCACTGCCCTTCTGGTTCAGGAACGTGAAGAAAGAGTCTCAGGACTCCCTCTAACCAAGCTTGTGCTGCCTGCAGAAGCCCCCCTAAAATCTCACCACACTCAGCACCTCAGTCAGCCGCCTCACCTCCTAGGAGAGCCCCCTGCTACCTGCTCGTCACAGAACTCCTTCTCACTGCCATAACCGTAATT